GACAGCGGGGACAGCAGGGGGGAACTGGGGGCACTGGGGGGGCATTGGGGACACGGGGATATTGGGGACAATGGGGACACTGAGGACATTGGGGGGGCATTGGAGACACGGGTACAGCGGGGACACGCCTGGGGACACTGGGGACAGTAGGGACAATGGGGACACGGGGACACTGGGACACGCCTGGGGACACTGGGGACAGTAGGGACAATGGGGACACGGGGACACTGGGACACGCCTGGGGACACTGGGGACAGCGGGGGGGAATTGGGGACACTGGGGACAGTGGGGATAAGGGCGACATTGGGGACGTTGGGGACATTGGGGATATTGGGGACATCGGGGACATCGGGGACAGGGGATGGGGGATGGGGGACAGAGGGGACAATGGGGACAATGACAAAATTGGGGACATTGGGGATAATGGGGGCACTGGGGACATCGGAGACATTGGGGACACTGGGAGAGGGTGGACTGGGGGCTGTGGGGACATCGGTGGCACTGGGGACATCAGGGGGTGCCAGGGCTGTCCCCAGCGCTGTCCCCCGTGTCCCCCGCGTCCCCTCCCCGTGTCCCCGTGTCCCCTGCAGGAGCGGGAGCAGAGCCCCGGGCCGCACGTCCTGCAGCGCCGGGACACCGGGGACAGCGGGGACAGCGGGGACACCCTGGTGAGTGCCACTGTCCCCTTGTGCCCCTGCCACACCCGGGCGACTGTCCCGCCAGTGTCCCCAAGGCGGGGGCGCTGCGGTGACACCGGGGGTGACGGGGGGTGACCAGAGTGACCCCGAGTAACCCGGGGGTGACACGGTGGTGACCGAGGGTGGCCAGGGGTGACAAGGGGGTGGCACGGGGGTGACAGAAGATGACCAGTAGTGACCAGGGATGACCTGGGGGTGACCGGTGGTGACCCATGGTGACACAGGGGTGACTGAGGTGACCTATGGTGACACACGGGGGTGGCTGTGAGTGACCCGCGGTGACACGGGGGTGACTGAGGTGGCCGTGGTGGCCCTCGGGGACACGGGACTGCCCCGGGTGACACGGGGGTGGCTGGGCTGACCCTGGGTGACCCACGGTGGCCCCGGGTGACACGGGGGTGGCCGTGCTGACCCTCGGTGACACGGGGCGGCCCTGGGTGACTGAGGTGGCCCTGGGTGACCCGCGGTGGCCCCGGGTGACCCGCGGTGGCCCTGGGGACAGGGCTGTCCCGAGGCCGAGTGTTTCCGGCTCAGCTGTCCCTCGGGGCCGCTGGAGCGGCAGCAGCGCGTCACCCTGCGGCTCGGCTTCCGCCCGCGGAGCCCCCCCCCGCGCCAGGTGGGACCCCCGAGCAGCCGGGACCCCCCCGGGACCCCCAAAACAGCCCAGGATGCCCAAAATACCCCTGGGATCCCCCCGGGACCCCCAAAACAGCCCGGGACCCCCAGAGCCTGCAGGTGACACCGGGGGGACACCGGGGACATGGGGGGGACATGGGGGTGACACCGGGGACAGGGGGGACACTGGGGACAGGGGGCACAGCGTGCGGCCTGAGAGCTACCCGCGCCACCGCCTGCAGGTGACACTGGGGACACGGGGGCACTGGGGTGACATGGGGGACTGCATGTGGCCCGAGGCCTACCCCCACCACCAGCTGCAGGTGACACCAGGGGGACACCGGGGACACGGGGGACATGGAGGGGACGGGGCTGTTTGAGGTGACACCGCGGGTGACGCTGAGGTCTGCGGTGGCAGGTGGTGACAGCGCTGGCACGGTCCTGCCCCGAGGGGGGCGGGGAGGTCCCGGTGTGGGTGGTGACACTGGGTGTGGCACAGGGTGACACTGTGGGTGGCACAGGGTGACACAGGGTGACACAGGGTCACACAGGGTGGCACAGGGTGGCACTGTGGGTGGCACAGGGTGACACAGGGTGGCACTGTCCCCTCCGCAGGAGGTGACAGCGCTGTCACAGGCGCGCCCCGAGGCGGGCGGGGAGGTCCCAGTGTGGGTGGTGGCACTGGGTGTGGCACAGGGTGACACTGTGGATGGCACAGGGTGACACAGGGTGACAGTGGGTGTGGCACAGGGTGACATTGTGGGTGGCACAGGGTGACACAGGGTTACACAGGGTGACACTGTTGCCCCGAGGGGGGCGGGGAGGTCCCGGTGTGGGTGGTGACACTGTGGGTGACAGAGGGTGGCACTGTGGGTGACCCTGTCCTGTCCCCAGGAGGTGACAGCGCTGGCACGGTCCTGCCCCGAGGGGGGCGGGGAGGTCCCGGTGTGGGTGGTGACACTGTGGGTGACAGAGGGTGGCACTGTGGGTGACCCTGTCCTGTCCCCAGGAGGTGACAGCGCTGGCACGGTCCTGCCCCGAGGGGGGCGGGGAGGTCCCGGTGTGGGTGGTGACACTGTGGGTGACAGAGGGTGGCACTGTGGGTGACCCTGTCCTGTCCCCAGGAGGTGACAGCGCTGGCACGGTCCTGCCCCGAGGGGGGCGGGGAGGTCCCGGTGTGGGTGGTGACACTGTGGGTGACAGAGGGTGGCACTGTGGGTGACCCTGTCCTGTCCCCAGGAGGTGACAGCGCTGGCACGGTCCTGCCCCGAGGGGGGCGGGGAGGTCCCGGTGTGGGTGGTGACACTGTGGGTGACAGAGGGTGGCACTGTGGGTGACCCTGTCCTGTCCCCAGGAGGTGACAGCGCTGGCACGGTCCTGCCCCGAGGGGGGCGGGGAGGTCCCGGTGTGGGTGGTGACACTGTGGGTGACAGAGGGTGGCACTGTGGGTGACCCTGTCCTGTCCCCAGGAGGTGACAGCGCTGGCGCGGTCCTGCCCCGAGGCGGGCGGGGGGATCCCGGTGTGGGTGGTGACGCTGGGTGTGACACAGGGTGACACAGGGTGACACAGGGTTACACAGGGTGACACTGTGGGTGACACAGGGTTACACAGGGTGACACTGTGGGTGACACAGAGTGACACAGCGTGGCACTGGGTGTGACACAGGGTGACAGGGTGGCACTGTCCCCTCCGCAGGTGGTGACAGCGCTGTCGCGGGCGCGCCCCGAGGCGGGCGGGGGGATCCCGGTGTGGGTGGTGGCACTGGGTGTGGCACAGGGTGACACAGGGTGGCACAGGGTCACACAGGGTGACACTGTGGGTGACACAGAGTGACACAGCGTGGCACTGGGTGTGACACAGGGTGACAGGGTGGCACTGTCCCCTCCGCAGGTGGTGACAGCGCTGTCGCGGGCGCGCCCCGAGGCTGGCGGGGGGGTCCCGGTGTGGGTGGTGGTCCTGGCCGTGCTCCTGGGGCTGCTCCTGCTCGGCCTCCTCTGCTACGGCCTCTACAAGGTGGGGCTGGGGGCTGCGGGGGATT